GCCTTGGAAGAAGGACAGCCACGTGTTCCTTGGAAGCCAGGACGGCAGGACTTCCCTTCTCACGCTCCCGACATGCTGTCAGGAGGAGCTGATACCAAGGGCTCAAGCAGAAAGCAAATGTTTTGAAAATGATGATGGCAACGGATGGACAAATGTGCTTGACACAATGGATGGATGGATGGATTGCGGTAAGAGTTGTACGAGCCCCCAATAAAATGATTTTTAAAACTTAAAAAGGAAAAAAGATAAGAATCTTGTGCTTGGTAAAGTGGAGGGTCAGTGAAAAAGAGCAGACCCTGGAGGAGATGGGTTGACTGAGGGGCTACAACGATGGGCTCAAACACAGCCCCTGTCGCGAGTGGGGCAGAACAGCAGGCGGTGTTTGTTCTGTTCCTACCCGGGCTCACGGTCCGTTGGAGCTGACTCACAGCACCCCGAACAACAACAATCCACCCTCTCGACTTTGCAGGGGCCCATGAGAAGGTGAAGTTCTTGCCTGAGTTTGGAACTCAGGTCTCCTGATTCCATGTCCACTTGAATAGGTAAGTGTCTCTGTTTCCTTTCCTATCTCCAACCATTGCCTGACATCTGCTATTTTCTTGACAGCCTTCAGGCTTCTACTTAATTGTCTCATTTTTCTGAGTCCCACGATGCTCCTGCCATATTTTTAATAGCATTTCACAAAGCCTCTAAATTTTAATTTGAGAAATCTCAGTGAGGGGCATGATCGGAAGGCTCTCTCACAAAAACCTTCTGGAATCTCCCAGAAGTCAGAGAAATCTGTAACACATGGTCTTTCACGCTCTCTTTCTGTTCATTCCCTACTGACGTTGCCAAGGAAGCAGGAGACGCCTCGCAGGAAGCTTGTGCTTGTTCCGCTTAGACACACGTCTGTGGAGATTTCATACATTCTGCTCATTTATTCTTTTTTGCTTCTATGTCAATAAAGTGCTTTTTACCATCTGTCTGACAGCAGATCTCTTCTCTTCTGTGTGTGTGTGTGTGTTAGTCTGGGTAGATTACAGAAACAAATTCATAGACACTCATATGTGTATAAGATAGAGCTTAATATACAAGGGCAATTGAATATTGAGAAAACATCCTAACCTAGTCCAGATCAAGTCTGTAAGTCCAATCTTAGCCCATATGTCTGATACCGATCTATAAATTCCTCTTTAGACTCATGAAACACATGCAATGATGTCGAATGTAGGAAGATCACAGGCCAGTGGGTGGAAAGTCTTGTGGATCCAGTGGCAGTGGAGGCATCTCAGTACTGGCAGGAGTCTCCATGTGGCTCCTTCAGCTCCAGGGCTCTAGCATAGCTCCATGTGGCTTCTCCTCAGGAATGTCTCACAGGGAGTGTGCGTGTATCCCACCTCCAGCGAACCACTTATCTCCTTAGAGCCTCCAAATGAGGTTATCAAGCTGTGACCTGATTGACAGGCTAAACTCTACCCCTT